AGTAGAAAGTGAGAGGGAAAGAATGAGAAATACAGAAAAGGGGAAATAGATACCGGTTAGTATTCTCTATTTTAAGAATACTTAATGTCTAATAGAATGTTAGGGACATCTTTACAAGGTTTGTACATTCATTCGTCTTCCAGACATAGATTTATAAGGAATGTTGTTCAAGATTTCTTCGAGAAAGGGCTTAGATGTTGAGAAGGTTTCTGGGAGGCAACGAAGTGACATCAGAATATCTATTTATTGAAGGTTCATTGAGAGAATGTTTGCCAGTGGCTAAAATGGTGTGAGTTTCCATTCCTGATCGATGAACTCTTCAATCTCACGTAGCCAGTGGTGGTAGACCCGGGAAGAAGGGCGTCAGACTAGCAGCCCTACCCCATAAAAAAGGAATACCATTGCTACTGAAACCTTAAATCTGAAGCCTGAAGTTCACTTGGAACACAAAGAAATAGAAGAAAAACAACTGAAGAACTGTCGAACATCTTAATGGATCGAACAATTAATGATCCTTGACATTTCATATTCATCATTACAAGAAGCTTTGACTCTATACTGCATAAAAACTTCTAGGTGAGACGTAGGAACAAGATATAATCACGAACTCTCTATTGAGAAAATACGGCAATTCGAATCATGTCTGACTGTGGTTTAATGGTACCCTGTATGACACATTGGTAAGTCATCAATACGTACTCAGGTAAATAGTTCTTCAAAAGGAAGTTTAGTAGTGATTTCAGTTCTTGTGTTTAGTTTGTATGTAGTAGTACTTCCATACAAAAGCGTATTTGAGAAAAGACAACAACACTTAGGTAAGGTTTCTGCAATAAAATACTATTGGAGGCTAAATGCATATTCTTCAGAATGTATTTAAAAAGAAGTAAGAAACCACAACTAACTAACTGTCTTCAAAACCACACCTATTTTGCATTCGTGAGTAAAAGATAAACTACCTAATTGTGCCTCTCCTATGCTTATCTACCAATCTGACTGCTCCTGTGGAGCCAGTTAGCTGCATAAACCGTACAATTAAGCGCGTTTATCGTAGGATTTCTGAACACCATCCTGAGTGGGAGAAACAAAATCCATTCGTAGTGCTATTCTGTCTAATCTTGTGGATATAGAACACAAGATTGATGTTGATGAGGCCTTCAAAGTTTCGACCACATACCAACTAATCTTAACTTTATTATCAAGTTGTACAATCGTATTTATATGGTTTTTAAGAAATTATATCAGGTGAGGGAATTGATTCATATGTGTGAGTGCATAAACTAATAATAATAGTATGAAATGTTATCAAATTTCACACAATATTACGTAACGTTTTTATTTCATTCGATTTGTCTACTAATCCTATAATTATGCACCCCTTTCCAACATCTATACACCTTATGTATTATTCTATAAATGACATTAATTGTTTTGCTACTTGACATTTAACTATGATTATAATCACAAACATTTCAATTGCATTTCATACTATTATTATTATTTCATGTATTCTCACCTTTGATTCAATTCCCTCAAAGGATATAACTTCTTTAAAAAATATATATACGTATATACAGCGCGTACACAACTGCAAGCTGACACCAATCCTCAAACGAAAGCTGAAGTCCTGAATGCAATCAAGCTTCTCAAAACTGGAAAAGCAGCTGGACCAGATGGAATAACCTCGGAAGCACTGAAAACGGACTCAGAAACGACAGCAGATATGCTGACTCGATTATTGCAAAAGATCTGGAAAGAGGGAAAGGTGCCTACTGACTGGAGGAAAGGTTACCTGGTGAAACTACCAAAGAAGGGCGACCTGGGACTCTGCAAGAACTGGCGAGGAATCATGCTCCTGTCGACGCCAAGTAAAATCCTGAGTCGCATCAACCTGGAGAGAATCAAGGACGCACTGGATACAGAACTCCGACCAGAACAAGCTGGATTCAGGAAAGGCAAATCATGTTCTGACCAAATTGCAACTCTACGCATCATCATCACAGAACAAAGCATGGAATGGCAATCAAACCTCTACCTCAACTTTATAGACTTCGAAAAGGCCTTCGACAGCGTTGACCGCGAAGTAATTTGGAAACTACTCAAGTACTACGGCGTACCCCAAATATTCATCAACCTTATTCAACAGCTGTACGACAACGGCACATGTCAAGTGATCCACAACGGAAAACTCAGTGAGGCGTTTGGAGTAAACACATGAGTCAGACAACCGTGCTTATTATCACCAACGATATTCCTTATTGTGGTGGACTGGATTATGCGTCAGACAGTGGGAAACGAGAAGACAGGGATATCTTGGACCGACGTGAAGAACCTAGAAGACCTGGACTTCGTGTGTGGATGATTTATGTTTGATGTCATGCAAAATCGAAGACTTACAAGCGAAAACCGACAAACTGGTAGAAGAAGCAGCCAGAGAAGACAGGACTGCAGGTGAACATAGACAAGACGGAGGTTATGAAAACAATCAACTAAACAACAACAACAACAGCAGCAACATCCAGCGCCAATCACCATCAGCTGGAGGGATTTGAAAGAGGTTACTTCATTCACTTATCTAGGGAGCATTGTCTCAACTACAGGAGGAACGGACGAGGATTCAAATCGAGAATCGGGAAGGCAAGAAAAACAATCATCAATCTGAAACCAATCTAGAAATCTTGGTCACTCCTCAGCATCAACAACAAAATTCGGATTTTCAATACAAACGTCAAGTCAGTCAGTTCTTTTATACGGATCAGAAACTTGGCGGGTCACAAAGAACATTTCCAACAGTATGTTGCAGACTTTTATCAACATCTGTCTTTGTTCTATACCGAAGATCAGATGGCCGCAAAGAATCACCAACAAGAAACTATGGGAACAAACGAAACAAGAACCAATCGCTCAACAAATATGCAGGAGAAAGTGGAGATGGATTGGACACTCGCTGAGGAGGCCGCTGGGTGATATCGCGCGTTAGGCCATAGCTCGAGTGGAATTCGAAAGGGAAGCGGCGAGTGGGACGTCCAAGGGTGACATGGAAGAGATCGTGTGAAGAGGAGTTGAAACAGTATGGACTAACATGGATGCAAGTGAAAAGTACAGTAGATGACAGAAGCAAGTGGAGACGTGCAGTTGAAGCCCTATGTTCCACTAGGAACCCAAGGGACCAATAATAATAATACGATTGTACGGCTTGATGATAAATTCGTTGGAAAGAGTATCTTCGCTGAATCACTTGTTTTGATTTTCTATATGTTACGATGGAAGTTTTCCATGAATTAATCTTAACTTCACTTTAAGAGTTCGTCTACTACATATTGCTACAGCTTTTGAGATCCACACTGAAGAGCCTAACTTATGTATCCATAAGAAGTTGGTTCAGACACTTTCCTTACCTTGTACATCAAGGTTTTGGTGATCCTCAATTTGTTGGGGAAATTCCCTTAATTTTATTTTTTATTCCATTTGCTATTCCATTTTTATGCTTATTATGATTTATATAAGAATAAAACTTGCACACTGTGGTAGAGTGTAATTCCATTATGGGTAAATTTTGTTTTGGTAAAGTCTCACAGTGTTATACAGTAATATTTACTGATGACGTTTCGAGCACAATTTATTGCTCATAATCATATTGAGGTAATCACACGACTTCCTAAATTCATTCATATAATTCCGTTGTTTTTCACTTGATTGGATTAGTAGTAGTATCTTTCATATTTCGGGTATGAGTGATGAATTATTCCTATTGCATGTGTTGGGTGTAGATTTGATGATCCAGGATTCAGAAATCAATCTATCTCTCCACCTACCTAGATTACTTTTTAGAAAGTGATTCCCCAATTGAAAGATGGAGTACCTCGACTAGTCACTTCTAATTGTATCCACTGATTCAGTCGCGCTTTTGGTGGAGCGAGTTATATTGACCGTTGTTCAGGAAACTTGACTTTTCGTGCTTGCTCGGGAATATCTACCTGCGTAGTTAAATAAAGGTGTATTGAGAAGCAACCACAGTTCGATATTAGACCACCTGGTCCAAAACGACCACAAAGCTAACATTGAAGCGTCCTTCTCCATCAACTATGGGGTACACTCCAGATGGCAGAGGCTACCGTGATTTGCCTAAAAAAACTGGGGCTTTGTGGGCAGAAGAAGTAAGTCCAGCCGGTCACTACTACTGCCTTGGCCAGCCTTCAGTGGAGACTATAAATTCATGAATTCTGTATTATGACTACTTTTCCTAACTTTTCTGATATTCAGTGTGTATTGTTATGTTGATGCTATGGAACTGTAATCCATTGACATTAATATTATTATTGATTCGATGTTATTTAAACAACATTAATGTTGTTAATAACACTATTATGTATATATAACTGTAGAACCTGATGAAGTTGTCGAAAATATTCTTTGCTCAGTAACCATTCTCTTGAAAATTCTAGTGGCCAGTGTAAGAATTTCCTCTATAAACAACATCATGAACCTATTCTAGTGGCAAGAAACGTTTCAGATATTTTTTGAATTTTCTTTTTTTCTTTCTTAGCAAGATAATGAACGAATTGATTCTGTGAACATTTCACAAAAACCGACAGAGGACTACTTACTTCTCTATCTATCTATCTATCTATCTATCTATCTATCTATCTATCTATCTATCTATCTATCTATCTATCTATCTATCTATCTATCTATCTATCTATCTATCTATCTATCTATCTATCTATCTATCTATCTATCTATCTATCTATCTATCTATCTATCTATCTATCTATCTATCTATCTATCTATCTATCTATCTATCTATCTATCTATCTATCTATCTATCACAGTGGTCTACTGGTTACATGCTTTTATCTCTTTGCTTCAATCAAGAAAAACGTTGCTACTCCTGTTCATGAATTTGTTTAGAACAAAGAGAAACCATTGAAACAATGAACAATCAAGTCAGAAAAAAGAAAACGCATGACAGATATACATCTCCCAGCATTTTTGTATCCTACCTGATACTAAACTGGAGACAATCAGCGGGATAATCAACATTTTCAGCATATTCATTAATAATTCTCCAGGGAATGATATAAGATAAATAGTTCTTGGTGATGGTGAGACGTAAATTTTGATGATCAATCCCATTGTCATACCCATAATGACAGCGATAACTGTGAATGTTACAAAGAGATTATCCATATTGGTAAACCATTTTTTAATCTACATATATATAAAAAAGAAGAGAAAAAGGAAAAAAGATAAAGAAATAAATAAACAAAAGAAAAGTTTGTTATTCAGTAGTCTTTCTATCCTTTCCTTCACTGTTCCACTGACAATAAAAAGAAATAAAAAAGGAAGTGGGAAACTGTATGTTTATTTTGATTCATCTACTAGTCAAGATAAAGAAGAAGAAAGCTATTCAGCCATATCATCTATCCTATTCGACTGTTTATAAGAATGTTTAACTTGCGGTGAAATGATTGTCGTTAAATGATTTCTTTTGCGTTTATCTAACCAACATTTTAAAACAAGTAGTAGATGGAGGTTCTAATGATTCTTCAGTCGACATTCCCTCTGCCCCCCAGCACCTAAATCAATGGATGAATGATTATTATTATTGTTGCCTTAAATTGCTTAAGGAACATAGGGCTTCAGCCGCACGTCTCCATTGTGTTCGGTTCTCTGATAACGTTTCCACTACCTGGCTTCATGTCTGCCCACATGATTTCATCTCCTTTTCGAATGACCTCCTCCTCCATGTCACCCTGACACTGAAGACCAACTCGCTGCTTCCCATACTGGGTTCCACTCGAGCAAAGGCCTGGCGTGTGATGTCACTTGATGATGGTTTTTTTCAGAGTATAACCAATCCTAGGGAGCTAAGCAAATTTACTTTGCGGATTCAGGTATGCGGAATTTCCATTCACTTGGGTTCCAAGTGTACCATACGGCTTTAGGCTTAACCAAGATTACTACAAGCCAAGCGACATTTATGAGTGCATCGGCGGGGGATTCAACCCGTAGTTGACAACCAAACCTGCTCAAAACTAAGAAAACACCATAGCTGCCAAAAATTCAAGGTTTCAAACCTGGAACTCTATGTTCCATTAGCGAATCAACAGGAGTGACGAAATGGTCGTCATGATGAAATACTGTGAAATTTGTACTTCCCTCTCATGCTGAACATAATGAATATGAAGGTGTCGCATAAAATATTACTAGATTGGCGGATATATAACTTGAGCTCAACATCTGCAGCATTCACAGAGGATGTTCTCCACTATTTAAGAATCCTTTTTGTTGTTTCTTTTTTCAAGAGGACAACTACGCCTGTTTTCTCTCATTACCTTATATGCCACTGCATTATACCATTTCAATTGAAAGACTTCTTTCTTTTTTGTCACCTTTATTCAAATATCTTTCAAAAATGTCCTGTTAATCTGTCTATCAGAGAGCATAATTACCCTAGAACAGTTCAACCTAATTTACACACAGTAGAAGCTTGAATAGTTACCTCACCTGCCATATCCAATTATATATATATATATATATATATATATATGAAATTTATTATAATAAATCTCCTTGCTAATCACACTCTTAATCCCACAGTTCACAATATCACTAACAATGATATTTCATAATCAATTATGAACTTTATAGAGGGGATTAAATAAATGAATGCAAAAGGGGAAATAAGCATAAGATGGACAGTTAACCACTTTGTTTCCCCCTGCCCCCGCCTCCTCGCATTTCCCAGTAGATGAATATAACAATAAAGGAGCTTTTATATTTAACTGATTAACCAGGAGTTAATTTAAGGTCGACTCATTGAAGTCAAGTTGAATTGTATTCAAAATTAGTAATAATAATAATAATCATATTTAGAAAAAGATTAAGGTCGATTGATACTGTTATTATTGTTACTGTTATCATTATTATTATTTACTTTACGGGTAATATTTCTTGTTAACTCTGTCTAATCAGTTAATTATGAATGACTCTGTTCACCTAATGAAGGATAAAATCAACTTGTGTATTTGCCATTGGAGGTCAACAGCACTCAGCATGAAAAATAAGATCCGGGTTTTTAACTCAAATGTGAAGTCAGTACTACTATACGGATCAGAGACTTGGCGCGTCATAAAGAGAAAACCATCAAGTGACATCACTAGACAAGCCATTGCTTGAGTGGAACCCGAAAGGGAAGCGGCGAGTTGGTCGTCCAAGTGTGACATGGAAGAGGTCATGTGAAGAGGAGATGAAAGCATGTGGGCAGACCTGGAGCCAGGTGAAAACTTTAGCAGAGAACCGAACGCAATGGAGACGCATGGCTGAAGCCCTATGCTCCTCTAGGACTTATAGGAGGCAATAATAATAATAAATTTCTCATTGACAGCATTTTCCTATTCTTGCTCAACTGTGATTTGATCAGTTTCAAGTTTAATCACGGACGTGTTGAAAAAAAAGTCAAGGAGTGGTGAACATCTGCTTTGTCCTAGTTTTGGACTCTTCAGCAGTTCAGCGGTCAAACATGGTACTTTCAGGATGCAACTGAAGACAGATTGTGATCGCATTTGACTTGCACTTTCATATCCACTAACTTCAGGTTAGTGTTCGAAGTGTAGATGATTATGTGTGAGAACGCCATGATGATTCACAACAACATAATACTAATTTTCTATAGTTGGTTTGTAAGGATCAGTTTTATTTTTACGAGTTGGTCGCGCTAAATCACGAACTGGTAGCAGTTAGAAATCATGAGTTGGCCGTTAAATCAGGTCCCAGTGGCTGAATGGTATACGAGCTTGCCGTGTAACAGGGAGGTCCTGGGTTCCAACGCTGGCGGTGGGTGCGTACTGCCGATGATTCCTAAACTAGGATGAAACAGCTGTCCAGTACTCCCAGCTGGTTTTCAATGATTCTCTAATTGATATCAATCCGTGATCAACTCGTAAAAACATAATATTAGATCACTAGCTCTATATAACTTGCACTGAATTTTGAATTTTATCCTGAAGTCAACTTGTAACGAGAGAAGAAAAGAGTATTCGCTAACGGGATTATTTATTGTCAATTAAACGTACAGATATAGGCAAATTACGTCTACCATAAATGGAAATCTCTCCACTGTTATATATTCTTGCAGATAATACACTTATATATATATATACTATTTATAAATCTTATCATTATCAGGCACCACAAGTTCACGAGAACGCATGAAATGATTTAAACACATGAAGTTGTTCACATGCTAGCGATCTTGTCATTTAAGTCACTGAAAAGTTATCGGTCGTCTGGAAAACACTTCACTCAGCATTGCCGTAACTTCTGCATAATACACGCCAACGACCCCACCGAGGATTGCACAGATGAACATTCCATCCTACTGGGCAAATCCATTGGGCATTCAGCTACTGATTTTCAGTGGTTTTCTAAATGAAATTTGTTCGTGATCATAATCTAATGCGCAATAATGACTGAATGCAGGATGAAGTTGCCTAGACTTCAGCTAAGAAGTCTTGACAAGTAGGATCCACCATTTCCGATATGAGGATAAATACTCTCCAATAACACTGGCCGGCGATGGCGATATACACCGCAAATTGGCAGAAGTTAAAATTGATGGTCCATTGGATTTCGTCGCAGTGAGTGGTTGGCTAGATAGGACGAGACACATTATCCTGAAAGTCCTGAGTTAGATCCCTGCTGGGGTCATGGGTGCGTAATACTGAAGAGTGTCAAACTAGGAAGAAACACCTGTCCAGTATTTCCTGGTACTCAGTGGCTCTCTAACTGAAATCAATTCATAATCAATTTTAAAAGAGAGAAAGAAAGAAAGGCACTACATGGCCAAATAAAAGTTCAGTAATGGAAAAACAAAATTCGACTCCATTTAGATAGGAAGAGCGAGAATTCATAAATGACAATTTTTATAACGCAAAAATACAGGCTCAGTAATTCAAAGAGTCGAAAGAAAACAGAGTCTTGAGAAGTAACGTTGTCTACAGTGGAGTAATTGTACTTACTTTCTACCTCTTATATAGGTTTTAATCATTACTATCAACGTTGGTTTTTTTTCCACATTTCTAAAGCGCGAATTTCGTTTTCTTTCTTGCGTTTGTGTCTCTAAGATTGTAAGTTAAATTATGAGTGCTTATGACGTATAGTAATCTAATTAGGTAGTAGAATTAATGTTCAATTAAGTTGCTTCTTTTTCTACTGCCAACATCTTTTTTTTGTAAAATGCAGTAGAACAAAATGGCATTACTGGTTCGAATTCAGCCTAATTTTTGATTTTTTAAAATGAGATTGCAGCTTACTAATATTAGTTTACGTGTATCAGTGTGGTGTGTGCTACTGACAGGATTTATCAGTAGTATGTAGACCCAGATTGGTAAGAAGCGACCGGAAATAAAAACAACATTTTAAGTCAATAGTTGGCGAAGTAGAAGTGTTTATTAGTCAAGTTTGGATTTAGCTTACGTTGTGGTCAGGAAATAATCTCATTGGATAACGTTTCGTCTGAAGGTCTAACCTTCTCTTGTTACATCAGTACCTTTTTGCTATTAATACTTGATTTCTCCTCTGCTTTACTCCTCCACTTTTTCATATGCCTTACATCATATTAAGATGATGATGGATGTTCCCGTCGAATATGAACTGAGTTAGAGACGGGTTTCAGGAATTATGCAGTGTTAGTTGAGTTATATTTCAAGTATTCAGACTTCACAGTCAGTGATTTCATATTAGTTTGTTTATTGGATATATCACACACAGTGTGAAGCAGTATTGTTTACTCGATGACACAGTTTCAAACACAATCTAGTATTGTTCATAATCATTTCATCAATTATAATCAGACAATTTCGAAATTTGAGTTTTATAGTTTTCTTTGTTCTCTCCTGTAGTAGTGTAACAACAGAAGACAAGGGCCAGCCAGGCAACAGATCGTTTATTAAGGAAAATCAACACATATTTATAGATTTTAATGTACATTATTGTAGATTATTGTTAGTAGAAAATACAGTCTTTTGATTGGTTGTTTCTCACAGAAAGTTAACCTTGCATCTCTTTGTGGCTGTGTCAGATCATCCATAGGATAACTGTATCCGCATACGCAAAGCCTTTGTTCTCATCATTTTCTCACCACCAATATTGGGGACATAAACATTGACGTCAATTACTGTCTACCAACTTTGGCTAGCAGCTAGCTC